TATGCTGAAGGGTATAGAGATGGTTTTGTTGACCGTTCTCCCCCTGAAGGTGAATCAAGCTCTTGTGCTGGTCCTGATGAGCTAGACGCCTCTTTGGACATCCACCCCCCAAACAACTATCAAAATCCACCATGTGACCCAGCTGAGAACATTTTTATTGAATGCATAGAGGTCACATCTTCAGGAATTGTCCCACCCTTTCATCCTCTGAACATTCTTCCCCTTTCTACCATCGTGCCCTCTTCCTCTGTCACTGCCGAAAGACCTATGCCTGCTGAGGGGGTGATTCATCTCGACTCCCCTTCTAAGGATGATAGGGCAGATGGAGATCTCGATGGTCCAGAGGAAGATGGTGGCAAGAATGACAAGCTACAGTCTGGAGGAGATCAGAATTGAGACCCAATAGCAGTTTTTTTTTTTTTTTTTTGAAATCTGCATGTATGGTGTTATGTACCTTGGGGCCTTTATGGCTATAAATGATAATGTTTTTGCTCAGCATCACTTTCCTCCATTGAATTTTCTATTTTCAGCTTTGCAGTGTTGTTTGTTTTTTTTTTTTATTTTTTTATTTTTTTAAGTGTTTAACGTTCGGCCATGTCACCATTCTGTTCTTTTCTTACTCATTTTTGAGCAAGTGTTTGGCGTTCGGCTTTAAGTGCCAGCTGCCACTAACTTGCCGAATGCCTGGCGCTCGGCCTGAACGCCTCTTGCCACTTGGCTTTTTCATTTTTCGAGCAAGTGTTTGGCGTTCGGCTTTAGGTGCCAGCTGCCACTAACTTGCTGAATGCCTGGCGCTCGGCCTGAACGCCTCTTGCCACTTGGCTTTTTCATTTTTCGAGCAAGTGTTTGGCGTTCAGCTTTAGGTGCCAGCTGCCACTAACTTGCTGAATGCCTGGCGCTCGGCCTGAACGCCTCTTGCCACTTGGCTTTTTCATTTTTCGAGCAAGTGTTTGGCGTTCGGCTTTAGGTGCCAGCTGCCACTAACTTGCTGAATGCCTGGCGCTCGGCTTGAACGCCTCTTGCCACTTGGCTTTTTCATTTTTCTAGCAAGTGTTTGGCGTTCGGCTTTAGGTGCCAGCTGCCACTAACTTGCTGAATGCCTGGCGATTGGCCTGAACGCCTCTTGCCACTTGGCTTTTTCATTTTTCGAGCAAGTGTTTGGCGTTCGGCTTTAGGTGCCAGCTGCCACTAACTTGCTGAATGTCTAGCGCTCGGCCTGAACGCCTCTTGCCACTTGGCTTTTTCATTTTTTGAGCAAGTGTTCGGCGTTCGGCTTTAGGTGCCAGTTGCCACTAACTTGCAGAATGCCTGGCACTCGGCCTGAACGCCTCTTGCCACTTGGCTTTTTCATTTTTCAAGCAAGTGTTTGGCGTTCGGCTTTAGGTGCCAGCTGCCACTAACTTGTTGAATGTCTGGGGCTCGGCCTGAACGCCTCTTACCACTTGGCTTTTTCATTTTTCGAGCAAGTGTTTGGCGTTCGGCTTTAGGTGCCAGCTGCCACTAACTTGCTGAATGCCTGGCACTCGGCCTGAACACCTCTTGGCACTTGGCTTTTTCATTTTTCGAGCTAGTGTTTGACGTTCGGCTTTAGGTGCCAGCTGCCACTAACTTGCTGAATGGGAAGAGTGTAGATTTTTAACAAAGAAGAGGCTTTTTATAACGCATGGAAATTTCGTACACTTGCAAGCATGCAGTTTAGAAAGTATACTATGCTTGAAATTAAACTCTACTTTACTGGTAGTACCTTTTCAGAGACATAGCATTCCATGGCTTATTGACTACCCTTCCTGTCATAGTTTCTAGGACGTATGCCCCCTTCCCTATGACTTCTGCTATTTTGTACGGACCTTCCCATGGGGGGAACATTTTTTGACTATTCCCACCTTCCTTTTCAGAACCAGATCGCCAGGAGCGAATCCCCTATGCCTCACCTTCTTGTTATGGCTATTTGCGAGCGTCTGTTGATAAGATGCGAGCCTCACTGCAACCGTATCCCTTTTTTCTTCCAACAAATCAAAATTGAACCTCAGCATTCTATCATTCTGCTCTTGATCCCACGCCAAGCTCCTTACAGTTGGAACCAAATGCTCGATTGGTATCACCGCCTCGATGCCGTAGGCCATAGCGAATGGGCTCTCTCCAGTTGGCCATCTTGGGGTTGTTCTGTAAACCCACAAGACATTCGGTAGCTCATCCAACCATTTGCCTTTTTCATTCTCCAGCTTTTTCTTGATACAAGCAAATATTGTCCTATTTGTGATTTCGGCTTGGCCATTAGCCTGAGGATGACTGACTGCTGCTAACTTCTGATTGATTCCATATTCCTCCAGCAGTTCTCTCACTTACTTGCTATCGAGGTTGGTTCCATTGTCTATCACGATTGACCCTGGTATGCCAAAACCACATATAATATTATTCCAGATGAAGCATCTTACTTGAGTTTGGGTGACACTAGGGTACGGCTCTGCTTCTACCCATTTGGTGAAGTAATCAGTAGCTAGCAGAACGTACTTATTCTGCGATCTTGCAGTCGGCAAAGGGCCAACCACGTCCATCCCCCACTGCGCAAAAAGCCATGGGGTGGCCATTACGTGCAGGTCTTCAGGTGGTTGATGTATCAATGACCCGAACCTCTGGCATTTATCGCATCTTCTAGAGAATTCTTCTGCATCTCGTGCCATGTTTGGCTAGAAGTACCCCTGTGTCATTGCTTTGTGCGCTAAAGATCTTCCTCCGGAGTGATTTCCACATACTCCCTCATGAATGGTTTGCATAATCTGTCTAGCTTCTGTAGGGGTAGCACACTTCAAATATGGATCCGAGAAGGAGTGTCTATATAACTGATCGTGCACAATGGCATACTTTGCTGCGCTGGACCTAATTCTTCTTGCCTCGTCCTTACGCTCAGGGAGTGTACCACTACGTATGTAAGCCATGATTGGATCAATCCAGCTCGGCTCATATGGTATAGCATTAACATGTTGAGTGCTCGGATCAAGCAGTTCTTCAAAAATGGAAGGTTGGATCAGTATGTCGACCGCGATGACCCTAACTAAAGTATCTCCAGAACTGGATGTATTACAAGCTAAGCGATCGGCATCTTCGTTATACTCTCTCGGCAATTGGATAAACCTGATCTGATCAAAGGCTTTTGCCTCACGCAGAATCGCAGTTCGGTATGCTTCCATAGTCTCATCCTTGGCCCCATAGTCCCCATTGACTTGTTGAATGACTAGTTGTGAATCACTATAAGCCATCAGATTCTTGATCTTCAATTCCTTAGCCAACTTCAGTCCAGCTATCAACGCCTCGTATTCTGCCTCATTGTTGGTTGTACTGAACTCTAGTCTTGTCGCTTGGCTCAGCGTAGTTCCTTTTGGTGTTTGCAACTGAATTCCAATCCCGGCCCCCATTTGATTCGAGGAGCCATCCACGAAAAGTTTCCACCAAGAACAATTACAATCCTCTACCGTATCTTCAGCATCACAGTCAAGTAGGAAATCCGCCACCGCTTGACCTTTGATTACCGTCCTGGGTTCGTACGCGATATCAAATGAACTCAATTCAATGGCCCACTTGGTCATTCTCCCCGACAGGTCCGGTTTGTGTAGGATCATTCTTAAAGGGAAAGTTGTTAAAAAGACGATTGGATGAGATTCAAATTAGTGTCTAAGCTTCCTTTTTGCGTTGACCAGAGACAAGATCATTCGTTTGGCCCTAGAGTACCTTCTCTCCGGTTCAGACATCGTCTTGCTAACATAAAACACCAGGAACTGCTTGCCCTCTTTGCAATGGATCAGAACGGCACTGGTTGCTATACTGGACACCCTGAGATATAGAAAAAGTTTCTCATTCGGTTCTGGAGCAGACAGAACTGGAGGATTACGCATGTACTCCTTCAGGCTGGTCAGTGCCTGCCGTTGCTCATCCCCCCAGGTTTGTCTTCCATGCCCTCGTATTGTATCAAAGAAAGGTTTACAGCGGTCCGAAAGCTTGGAAATAAATCGGCTCAGTGCGGCTATCCTGCCTGTGAGTGCCTGCACCTCTTTAATTGTCCTTGGCTCTGCATTCCTGATCAAGGCTTCTGCCTGTGCTGGGCTGACCTCAATTCCTCTATGATTGACCACATGTCCCAGGAATTATCCGGAGCTTACACCAAATGAGCATTTGGCAGGATTAAGCTTCATCCCATACTGGCGCAACACATCGAACACATCTTGCAGGTGCACTAAATGATCGCTCTTCTTCTTACTCTTGACCACCATATCATCAATGTAAGCCTCGACAGTGCTGCCCATCTGGCCCTTAAAAATCTTGCTGATCAGCCTCTGATAAGTAGCTCCAGTGTTTTTTAATCCGAATGGCATGACTTTATAGCAATAAGTCCCTTGTTCAGTAACAAATGAAGTTTTTTCTTCATCAACTGGGTCCATAGGAATTTGGTTATAACCGGAATAAGCATCCAGGAAAGTTAACCGCTCATATCCTGTGGTGGCATCTACCATTTGATTAATCCTGGGCAATGGGAAACTATCCTTTGGGCAGGCTTTGTTTAGGTTAGTGAAGTCGATGCACACTCTCCATTTCCCATTCTTCTTCTGCACTACAACAACGTTAGAGAGCCAGGCCGGGTACTGAACTTCTCTGATGAATCCAGCTTCAAGCAACCAATCAACTTCCTCAGCTATAATCTGGTTTCGTTCTGGAGCAAATCTTCTCTGCTTCTGCTTCACTGGCTTTGCATTCGGATCCACATTGAGGGAATGGCAGGATACAGCAGGATTTATCCCTGGCATATCTGAATGGCTCCATGCGAATACATCCGCATTCCGAATCAGGAAATTAGTCAACTCTAGTCTCTCTTCTTCGGTGAGTTTGGTGCCCACCCTTGTTGTTCGGTCTGGTTTCTCGTGATCAATCTTTGCTTTATGAAGGGGTTCTGTGGTCAGAACTGGTGGTTCCTCCCCCCCATCCTTGCTGGGAGGAGGGTTTTGTAATTACTATTTTGGAATGGTGGAACGGATGGGATTTTTCCCTTTTCCAGCAGATTTCAAAGTTACTGAATAACATTCTTTAGCCGCAACCTGGTCCCTGTGTGTATCTATCACCTTGGTCCCATCTGGACCCAAACATCGCATCACTTGATGTAAGGTTGACGGAACGCCCTGAATTCTGTGAATCCATCCTTTGCCCATCAAGAGGTTGTATGGTGGATAAATTTCCACTACCACAAAAGTTTCAGTCAAAACCCGCTCAGTAGCTTGTACTGTCAATTCCACTATTCCAATGGGTTCCACTCGCTTCCCATCAAATCCAAGCAATGGATTCCCTGTGGGTTTGAGTTTTTCAGGTTCGATCTCCAATCGGTCGAACGTCACCCTGGGCATGACATTCGCACTACTTCCTAGATTAATCAGGACTCTCCGAACCAGGCATTCTGCAATCGTCAGACTGACGACTAGTGAATCTTCATGAGGGATCTGAACGCGTAGCAGGTCCGTTTTATCAAACTTTATCGATGTGAACGCGTTCTGCTGGTGCAAAGCATGCACACTGCCAACTCTTCTTTTCAGCTGGGCCTGGCATAACCTCGTTCTGAGTAACTCTTCTGACTCCGTCGTTTGTTCAGGCCGGCCATGAATTGCATTTATAATCCCGATGGGTTGGGAGTTGTGTTGGTTCGGCCTCTGGTTCCGCTTTATTTGTTCAGTCGGGCGGTTATGCTCTTGTGCCAGACCCTAAACATAGCTTGCAAACTCCCCCTTTGCGATCAGCATTTCTACCTGCCTCCTTAGGTTCCTGCATTCGTTAGTCTGATGCCCAAAATCACTATGGAAAGCACAATGTTTAGTCTGATCCCTCTGTTCAAGAGGTTGCCTGATTGGCAGAGGAGGACGAAACTTATCTTTGTTCTCCTGGTATAGCCTTGCTAAAGTGACTCTGAGTGGAGTGACTGATTCCTCCTCCCTGGGCCTCTTCTCCGCCTTCCACGAGGGGTGACGTTGCGGTTGACCTTGTTTTTGCCGGATCTTGGCTTTAGACTTCTCCTCCGTCGAAATAATTGATGTTTTCCTTGAATTAGCTGCTTCCTCCTCCTCTAGGCGAACAAAACAGTCAGCTCTCTCGTTTAGCTCGTCCATTGTCTTTGGCGTATTAACCACCAAGCTGGAGTGGAACGGCGTCCCCCGGTTCATTGCGAGTTTAAATGCTTGGACTGCTATTGACGGGTGACACTCCATTACCATGCTTTTAACGAGGTTGAACCGGGTGAGAAAAGCTTAGAGCCGCTCATCCTCATGCTGCTTCATTGTAAAGAGGCTCGATACATCCTTAGCCGAACACTTGTTCCCATAATACTGGCTTATGAACTTATCGCATAAGTCCTGGAAACTGGCGCTTGAGCCTTGAGCCAGATTCTTGAATCAATTGAGAGCTGGTCCAGCCAAGCTCGTAGGGAAACACTTGCACATCAAAGGATCATTATTAGTATTCAAAGCCATTTTCAACTGAATATGGTATATGTGATCGACCGGATCGGTTGTTCCGTCAAACAGAATGAAGATTGGCATGGAAAACTTCTTCGGATTCGGCGCGTTCAGAATTTCATCAGTGAACGGCGATGCGACCGTCCTTGCTGAGGAACGCAATGCTTCATTTTCTCTTGAAAACCGTGATGGAAATCCTCGATCGGCAGATCTCCTTTCCGAGCTATTGTAATCAACTGTCGCTAATGAAGGTCGGTATGGCGGATCGAACGACCTATCCTCCGCAAATTCACTCCGCCATGGTGACGCAATCCGATGTTCATACGCCGGTGCTTCCTCCCTCATAATCCATTTGTGATGCGGTTCCAGACGAACAGATCCTTCCCGATCCTCTACTCGGCCGACATTCGGAGATAGATTACCGATTATATCTTCATCACGATGTAGACCACCATGATTGACATCCTCTGGATCACCTTGACGATCAGCTTCGGACGGTAAAGCTCCCTCTCCTTCAGGAGGTGGCCTCGAAATTGCAAGAGCCTCACGATGCTCCATTCCAGCTCGTAACTCTGCATTTTCTTTCCTCAAAGCATCGATCATGTTCATCAGCTCATCGAGCTTTGTCTGCTGGCCGTTCTCCAAAGGATTCGAGTTCGCCTCTCCGATCATCATTCCAGATTAGAGCAAAGTTATCAACTGCAGACTTCTTGACAAAATCGGAGCTCCGCTAACGCGCGCACCAGATCTGAACTTACACTTGCTGAATTCAGTCCGCTACTGGCCGGATTCAGTAATCACAACAGATCGTAATTGCGCAGTTCGCCTGATCAAGCATGGATCTGATCTGCTTGGATTGGACGCCAATTTTTCGAAATCAACCGGAGCCTAGACTCGTCAAGACAGATCGTATTATCACCAATGTTGATTCAGCTTTCGCGGATTAATCGTCTTCCTCGTAGAATGCGTTGAATCGATCCGATCTGGAATGACATCAATCAATCCTTCCTGTTCTTCCCACAGACGGCGCCAATTGAAAGTACAAAGAATTTTTCCCTAATTGTAGAGAGAGAAACTTTACACTCTCAATGATTTTTTCAACACCTTTTCCCTCTCAATCCCTTCTATTTATAGACGGTTACAACCTCTACTGAACTGGTCCATTGGCTGGGCTTGATTTCTCCTTTAGCTGGGCTTGATTTCTCTCATCTTATCATGGGCTTCCGAAGTGGCCTTATGGACCTGGGCCCATACGGCGCGAACTGGCTTCATCCTGTTCGTCCACACCCGACCCATCCTATGTAATGTGGATCACCCCAAACCCGGGTCGTTTTGGTATCCTCACATGCAAATGAAGAGCAATCTAAAGATTAAGGTATAGAGAATGAGAGAGAATTCTTGGGGCTTAGAGTTCACCACTAAGCTTCATTTCACTAAACATTTAGCATTTATTAATTTAGGGGGATTCCATGTTGTAAAATAAGTGTGTGTACCATTAATTGAAATACTAAGCATGGATGGCAAATTAAACATAAATTGTCTAATCAATCTAGTGAGTAGCACAACCTATCAAATTAAGCCATTAGCCATTCAATAAACCCACAATTAATACACACACAAAAATCTAGAGAAATGTACTACTTGCACTCATAAGCATGGATCATCAAACAACAAGAATGGATGTCTACCTATCTAAGAATTTAAGGCAATTACACTACACTTATACTAATGACAAGAAAATTAAACTAATTAAACTAGGGAGGTAGCACAATCCATCAAGAAAGAAGTATAATCTATCAAACAAACCACAAGAGTAACCAATTAAGCACCATGTCTTGACTATCACTAGATTTATAATTTCAACACACATAGACATGCATTAAACTTATAAATTCTAGTGTAAGCACATGACCATTCATTCTAATATACATAGACATATGAATAGAAATAAAAGATCAATTGGAAGACTTATTCCATACAAATCATGCAAAAACACAAGATCTATATAATCATAGGTCAAAACATCAATTACAACTAAAATCCCCAAATATTACAAAGTACTCAACTTTAGGAGGCACTTCAACGGTCGAAATCAATTATAAATCAACCCTCTTCGCAATAGCACGAATCATTGTAAAATAGGGCTATTGGACGGGTAAGTCGAACCACTGGGACTGCGCTAGTCTTAAGGCAACCTAAGTATCTAAAGTCATTTTAGAGTGATGAGGGGTTTATAAAGGGTTTGTGTGTTTGTCACTAAACTAGGAAATTAAAATGCATAAAACAATATATTGCAATGAAAATGAAGAAGTGAGATACAAGTAGAAAAGACTAGGGAGATGAATCCACACTACACCCTAAGTACATGATAGATTAGGTCTAAATTTGGGGATAAATAGCATATATGCAATGGTCAAGAAATATGAAGCAACTCCGTTGCTTGATAATCATCAAGAAGTTCACTTAATCAAAACAAGAATGATCCATCAAAAGCTACCATAGTTGAACTACTTAAACTAAGGTGTAGAATCAAATACACTATCTCAAGCAAAAGACCATCAAGCTTTCAATCAAATGGTGAAGCACATGAAGGTAGGAATCAAGTATAAACCATCAAAGGGGGTACCTAAGCAATGGAATATAAAGTTTCAAAATCAACATGCCTTGAAAAACATTCATAGTCTATATTTTCATTGTCACTATGAAAATAAAAGCAATAAGATTGATCCAAGAATCGTCAAAGATATGACAATGAACTTACATCAACCATTTACACATTAAAATTCATTACAAGAAGGAATATGCTCTTAGACTATGAAACTACCATACATTATACATTATAGTCCCCAAAAGTATAGCCTAATCTAGAACATGATCAAAAGAGGAAGCTTCATCACCTCCCTAGATGGAGGTTTAGCTCTCCATTGATACAAAAATGGAAGAAGAAGAAGAAGAATACAACTTCATTTTCGAGCTCTATTGTAGCACCCAAGAACACTCTTTTCCTTGCTCTCTTCTCTCTCCTCTAATCTTGTAAGAAATGAAGGATCATATCTATGTGGTCCTCCCTCCCTCTTATCAAGCTCAAGTCAAGGCTCACTCTCCTCCAAGGAACACCTCTAACCACTTCATAAAGAAGGAAGATGGCATTGAGGAAACCAATGTGCAAGTGGCTGAAATTGAGCCATTTCCGAGTGCAATCTGCCAGAATTTCGAGCACTCGAAGGGTGGTCTCGAGCACTCGAAATTAGTGTAATGAGCAACATGCAATTCTTGCCCATCTCTGACCCACTGTGGAAGAATGACCATAACTTTGTGCTCCAAACTCCGAATGATGATCTGTTTGAAGATTTGGAGAGCTGATTCAGAGTTTTAAAAACTTCATGTTTTGATAAAGACCCAATTCTCAAGTCTGGTTGGTCGAAAATGGGGAGAAAGGCAGCACTTCAGTGCTGCCAGGCAGTTCTGTGCACCTCTGGTAAGAAGATCATAACTCTCTGCTCCGAACTCCGAATGATGAACCGCTTGAAGATTTGGAAAGCTGATTCAGAGATCTAAATATTTCATGTTATGATGGAAGTCCAGTTCTTGAGTTTGCTAGGTTGAAAATGGCGACAAAAGTCAGGTTCTACTGCTGCCAGAATTTCAGAATTGGCACCCTTTTTGTTCAAAATTCCACAAGGCATCATTTTTGCTTCCTTTTTGCAATTTAACCTGAAAATGTACAAAAACATGCAAATGGAGATAATCTACATAAAATAATCAATTAATGGACTTTGTTAATGTAATTTAGGGCGCTTGAATATACAGTATTCGGCGCTTATCAGCAAGCCTAGGGGCTATCTCAAGCTCCAAGAGAAGGATCTAGCCACTCATGATTGTTGTCATCCAACCCTCAAGGGCTTTCTTCAATGTAGGCACTATCTTCTTCCTCTTACTTTGGTCTCCAAACACCCTAATCTAAAGAGAAAATTTTCTAGTTGTATAACAAAAGTTGGAATAAAACTTGGAACCTTATACAATTGGTTTGATTTCAGCTAAATAAAAGCCTCTTTGAGTAAGCAACAAGTAAAAAAATAGGCCTTTGATTGGTGCAAACTCGCAGCTACAAAAGTTAGTGGAGTTCGGGCACACTCAGGAATTAAAAAGCTCATTGCCAGCAAGGAGGCTTCGATGGATCGAAGCTTACTTCGATCGATCGAAGATGACATGGCAAGTATATTTTTGATAACTGGTGACCTTATCCACTAAGCTAGCACCGCCTTCATTTCGATCGATTGTAGATTGTTTCGATCGATCGAAGACTATCCAGTGCAGTTTTTCTGACTTTTTTTGGATTTTATTCTTAACTCTAAAAAGGAGCTAAAAGGCCCTTTTTAGTCTGGTTGAACCTTATTAACCTGAAATAGAAAAAAACATAAATTAGAACTAAAACGGGAAAGTAAGATAGATAAATGGACTAAAATACCCTAGCTTAGGTGCTAAAATGAACCAAATTGTATAAAGTTCCATTAGTTGTTACAAGATTAGACATAGCTATTAGATATTTTTCTCTCTAGAATTAGGGTTTTTGGAGCAATGTAAAGAGGAAGAAGATGGTGCCTACATTGAAGATTGCCTTTGAGGGTTGTATGACACCAACTATGAGTGGCTAAATCCCTCTCTTAGGGCTAGAGATAGCCCCTAGGCTTGTTTCCTAAACTTATTATTTTGTAGTTTTTGAGGATTTATGTTCTAAATAATGTATTGACCATGATTATATATAAATCTTGAGTTTCTACATGATTTGTATAGATTAATTCTTTCAATTGATCTTTTATTTCTATTCATATGCCTATGTATGCTAGAATGAGTGATCATGTGCTAACACTAGATTTTATGAGTTGATGTATGTCAATATGTGTTGGAATTGTAAATCTAGTGATAGTCAAGGCATGGTGCTTAATTGATTACACTTGTAGTTTATTTGATGGATTATGTTTATTTCTTGATGGATTATGCTACCTCTTTAGCTTAATTAGTTTAATTTACTTGTCATTAGTTTAGTTGTAGTGTAGTTGCTTTAAATTCCTAGATAGGTATAATCCATTCTTGTTGTTTGATGGTTCACACTTATGAGTGCAAGGAGTACATTTCTCTAGATTTTTGTGTGTGTATTAATTAAGAGTTTATTGAATGGTTAATGGCTTAATTTGATAGGTTATGTTACACACTAGATTGATTAGACAATTTATGCTTAATTTGCCATCCATACTTAGTATTTCAATTAATGACACACACACTTATTTTACAACATGGAATCCCCTTAAATGAACAATTGCTAAATGTTTAGTGAAGTAAAGCTTAGTGATTAACTATATGCCCTAAGACTTCTTTTTCATTCTCTATACCTTAATCTCTAGATTGTTCTTAATTTGCATATTTTTAATTGAATTATTAGCTTAATTTAACCAACCAAACCCCACTTTGATCATTCGACCTACTAATCTACTATTGATTCTGTAGTACCTTGTAAATCTCTTGGGACGATCCCTACTCACTCTTACTACGTTAATAGTAGTGGTTTTTATAAATTTCAGTTTGACCAAAAAGGCTTTCTTTGAACCGAACTCACATTATTTTGGCATATTATGATGGCTCGTGTCAAGTTTTGGCGCCATTATCGGGGATTAGCAATGCCATATTATGAATTAATTAGGAATTAATACTTCTTTGATCCTTGCTTTATTTTATTTTATTTTGTTTTCTCATTTTGTTACTCTTCAATTGACTAGGTACTTAAAGGGAAGCAAAGCAAAGGAAACCTCAAAGCAAGCAAGCAAGAAAGCATAAAAAGCAAAGCATAAAAATAAAATAAAAATAAAAATAAATAAATTACAAAAGCAAAGCAAAAAGCTTAAAATTTTCTTGAAGTTACTTAAGGACCTTTGTGAGCTATTCTAAACTCCTCTTGCTTAGTTAAATTATCGGCCTGTGTGGAGGCCACTTAATTTTTTTTGTATTTGTTGAAAAGCATGGGAGTATGGGATCAATATATGTGGAGGCTTGTTGTCGATTGATTTATGTTGTGGAAGAGAAGTATTTGCTATTTCTTGTGTTTGTTGATTGTGTTGATTTGCATTCTGCATGCGTGGTCGTAGGTCTTTAAATCCTCCTCTTGTTCCATTGAATCTTGATCTTGAGTCAATTGTGCACAATCCAAGAGGTAGGGGCAATTCAAGTGAATCCATTCCATCAATGGACGACCATGTTGAAAACCTTGGTCATGTGCACCAACAAGGCATTTTCCATCCTAATGTGCAACAACATGATAATATGCGCGTTCCTTTAGGTATGTCTAGACCTTTTGCTTCTTAACTATAAGGCCAAGTTCCAATTGGAATGCCAAGGCCAATCTTTATACCACCTCCACCACCTATTGTCCAAGTTAACAATGGATCTCATGTAGAGCCACCAATTGCAAATCCTCCCACGGCTTTAAAAGATCACTATGTTCCTAATGAATACAATGCACCCACATGCATTCGTCTTCCTCAATTTAGAGCACATCATTATGAAATCAAGCCATAAACCATTCAAATGCTTCCCAATTTTTTTAGGCTAACCAATGAGGAACTATATAAGCATTTGGATGCATTTCTTGAAGTTTGTTCCACCGTAAAATATATGGACATGCCAGAAGAAATTTTAAGGTTGAAACTCTTTCCATTCACCCTAAAATATAAGGCAAAGTATTGGTTTAACAATTTGAGACCTCTTTCAATAACTTCTTAGGCAGAAATGCAACATGAGTTCTTGGGAAAGTATTATCCCGTTTCCAAAACCAATGCCATGCGAACTTCAATTTGTGAGTTTTCACATAGGGATAGGGAGATATTACATGAGGCATGGGAACAACTGAATGATTTTTTTAGGAAATGTCCTCTTCACGGCATTCTTAAGTGGCAAATAGTTTATGAAAGTTTATCTGATTCCCACAAAGGCATGGTTGATGCCTCAAAGGGAGGTTCGTATTTGGATAAACATGAAGATGATGTACGACATTTATATGAAAGCATGAGTGAAAACTCAATGCATCGATCATTGTCTTCTAGAAATGGTAGAAATGTTAATGTAGGAGGAAGAAAGACTTCAAGCTTATATCAAGTGAAAAATTCTAATGACATAGTTGCTGAGGTGAAGTCTTTAACTCAAAGGTTTGATCAGTCAAAATTCAGTTTATCAAGTGTCTTTCTCCCCTAAGCATCATCATTCTAGCGAGTCTTGCATAACATGCTCAAGTATGTTACAAACTACTTCTAATTGTTGTGATACCCCTCGTTTCTAGAGCCACGGGTGATCCAGTCAGAGTATATATCCGAGGGATATCAGACAATTAATATATAAACAAGCAAAAATAAAAATTTAAAATAAAAATAAAATAATAATGCGCTGAAAGAAATCTAAAATAAAAATCCTCAAACTTTAAATAATAAATTAATATTATTTAAATCCTTCAAATCCGTACAACTCAGTAATCCATCTAGTGGACCCCTAATAATTCCAACTGATAAATAAATTTACAGAATAAAATCTAAACTAAAATAAGAAAGAAAATCCTATGTAGTCGGAAGAGTGAGTGTCTGTATCTGCATCAACACGATCAAGCACTAAGCCTTGTACTGTCAAACACCTGAAAAATAAGAGTGGGTCAGGCCCACATGCAAGTTCAATCCTACTATAATTCATACACAAACCCAATACGCAGATACATCCTAGATAGCTTGGCAATATCTAAAATAGTCCATATAGATATAGATACACACTATAGGATATACACTAACCTATTGTCATCACACCTGAGTAGAAGGTAACACGCAAAACGCCGTAGCGTAGTCATGCACACGTAGACCTACCAGGGAACGTCATTAGGTCCAATTATCCATCCACGCAATATACGCACCCTAACCGTGATCAGGAGACTCAAGCTCGTATCACGGTAACCATAAGTATATATATATATATATTCCTTCCTAGTGCAAAAAGATAAAACAAATATCTATTATGTTGTTCAACTGTTTTAGTTGACCGGACATGCATCCATATAGTATTTAACTATTTTAGTTAATCCATTCCTTATGTATGAAGGGGTAGGACTTAACTTTTTGATCTAATCCATCCCTAATATGTCACCATCCCATACCGGTACATATAATACAAATGATCCACATATAATGCACATTCATTAGCACATCGAATACATCCAGAATCTGGCATAACAACAATCAGTTATAAGCAAGATTCTATTATGCATACAGTACATGATTAAAATAATGAAACATTCGTTCAAATTGCAGAAGTAATGATAAACAATTTAAACTGTCCATTCCCCATATAATTGACAGAACAAAAAATATATTAGTTCAGCAATTAACATCCATAACATGATATAATGATTTTCAGAATTTTAAATAGACCACAATATATTAGAAATCCCAAACCATACTCTCATACTAGTTTATTAAAATCACTAAAACAAAGACTAGTAATGAAATCCTCCTTAATCCTTAACGGCATGAAAGTTAACATTTACATCACATGACGTCCATTTGACCCTCCACTTCAAAACATGTGCCTGATGTAATATGACACTCTGAAGTCCAAACTGCACAATATATGAAACCCCAACGGTATTCCCATACTAGTTCATTTAGTTCGCTAAAACAAAACTAGCAACTAAAATTCCTACCACTCCTGACAACATGCCATTTAATATCTAAGTTCGTGAAGTCTGTGACCATGTCCTAAACTGACCTTTCTGGCCTCCTTTAATTTATATATATAATTTATATAACATCCCAAAAATAATTCAATACCAGCTAGTTTAAGTTACTAAAACAAACTTAGTAACTTAAACCTTCCTCCTTCCTTGACAGCATGTCTATTATACGATTTCGTTTCATGATGCCCCTTAGGATTAGCACCCTAGCACAAACCAACTGTTTAAGGGTCTTAATAGGTTAATTTTTATACATTTGGAGCCCCCTTTATTTTCCAGTAATTACCTTCAAGCCCCTGAAATCAGAAAAATATCCGAAAATGTAAAAAAAACCACTTACTGAGCAATTTCAAAAGAGGAGCCGGCTCCACAAAAGTGTGGAGCCTACTCTACCCTATAAGAGCCGCCTCCACAAGAGTGTGGAGCCTCCTCCACTCTCTAAGCCTCCATTTTTTCTTTCTCCATTACCTCTGTTTGCCTTCTCCGCTTCCGGCAAAGCTTCAGTCCTCTGTCCCACCATTGTTAAAGATATTTAAGGTTCAATTTAAGTCCTAACAATCCTAGAAACTTCTCCAATTCTAGTATGAATTAATTGACAAAAACCTAAACCATAATCAAAACAGTTTATGCTTCCTCTGTTTGCCTTCTCCGCTTCCGGCAAAGTTCAACCCTCTGCTCCAGAATTTTTTTAAAGTTCTTAGGGTTCAATTAAGTCCCAACCATCCTAAAGACTCCTCAAATATCAACAAGCATTGCTTGACAAAAATTTAAAACTAAACAAAATAGTTTATGTAAGGAACACAATTTCAGTTCACCTAAACATACGAACAGTTTAAAGTCTGTTACTATGCATTAAAATTCCGTTTTAAAGTTTAATTAACTTCCTAGAGACTACATAGAATGCACAGAACACAAGTTTACAGGAAGGAGATAGAATGAAACTTGCCTTTAGGTTTCGGATTGAAACCTTTTAATGCCGTCTCAAGTTTCAGAATTCTCCAAGATCGTTCCTTCCTCTGATCTCTGTTTCATCCCTCTATTACATCTTAATTCCATCCCAAAGCAACCCCTTCTTTCTCCTCTAGCCTTACAGGTGATCTCTCACGATCCTCTCTGATTCCCTTTACAGTTTCTCTCTGTTTTTCCTCTCAAGATACTATGTCGTGAATAGGGTTTTCAACTTAGCAAACCATACTGTCTTATATATATAGGTTCCTACTAAACCCTAATCCTAATTCCATGACTCATTAAAAGTTGGCTAACTAATCTTCAAAACCCTAAACCTACACTATATACACTACCATCTTTAACCTACATTTAATTAACTAAATTACATCACAAATAAATCATCCAATTAAAAACAAATAAATAATTATAACTACATAAGTCACTTACAACACGTAGACAATTTCAAGTCAAATAAATAATTAAATAAAAACACAATTAGATTATATTAATTTAAATAAAAACAATTAATCAATTAAGAAAACCAAACAACTAAGTCACATAATTAAATCAATTAATCAATGAAAACCAAAATTAAATTCCCAATTCTATCCTTTTGAAAACTAGAGGTATTACATTCTTCCCCTCTAACACAAGAAATTCCGTCCTCGGAATTCACGAAACTCTGAATTAATATCTTTTCAAAATTCATTTCTGTTTTCGTGTGGCACAGCCTTTTTATATGGCTCCACCAAATTCCAACACATCCAACAATATACCAAGTTTCTCTGTTTAAGAAAAAAACAAAAATATATAACTCCTAGGTTGGAGCTATCAACGATCCAATCTTACCAGCGAAGGGTAATGATCCCTATTCCTCTAAGTTCCGTAGAACAGGCGCATAAAATTCCTATGCATCCTGCGCTAACTAAATCGGTAACGCTAAGAAATAGACGACTGTCTAAATCAATAACCAAAATCCGTGAAAAGTCAGTACCATAAGTAAAACTGACCTTCCTCCGAAACACAGTGCTTTCAGTACGGAAGTCTTCCCAAATAACCATTTCCTGATAGAAAACTCTTATGTACGAGTTCAACTATCTGCAAAATCCGACCGCCGCCTCCAAACCGCACGCAATCATTACCATATGAGAGTTTTTATCTCTGATGTAACCTTAAACAAAGGCAAGGTTGTATCATATAACCTCGCTTCCATGCCAGACCAACCAGTGAGATCTGCACTACATAGTATCCAAAATCCCATACATTTTCGCATTAACCTCCTTGTGCCAACAATAGCACAGATAATAACTAAAAAGCTAAGTAATGCTTTCAATTACCTGTGCCAACCTAGGATATATATCCTAAGCATATTTGCCATAATCCAATATTATATTCTGATTAAATTTCCCATTTAGAGATGCGAAGCATAGTTGTTGCGCCAACATGTTCAAAGACTCCGTTGCCATAGCCGTGTTTAACCCTTATAAGAGATAACCACCTACTATAACTCCGTTACCAGTGCAATATAGAACTGACCTCACACGCCAAAACAAACACCACTAACAGTAATGTCCACCATTGAACTTACTTATCCATAACTCTTAATCCATATGGAATTAAAATTCCAACCAATGTCGGTACTTTCTACCAACCATCCACCTCCTGATTAGTCCTACTTCCTGTTGTTATAGGAAGTGGCTAACACCTCCAATGATATCCAAGCCTCAATTTTCCACCTTGTTAGCAGGTGATACACTTGGAGACAGTGATATACATGTCTCTATCCGTACCGGCTCACCAAGACGAACCTGGTAAGTTGTGCTGTAACTCCTATCCATTTGACTACACCGTAAAATTTATAAATTTTACATCTCAGTCACTCTGACCTTCCTAGAATAAAAGAAAACAACTACCCCCCTTTAGTACCCTAAACTCATCTGAGTAAGATACTACCTCCTACGAGGTCAGCCCAAATATTCCAAGTTGACCGCCTTCATTTCCCTGGTAATAGCAAGTGTTATTATTTCCACATGCTAAAATACAACGGATTGCTCAATAACCACTGCAGGTTCAATCACCACATCGGTTGATAAGATCATCCTCCTCCCTATTACTTCCACCCGACGAAACTTAATGCAAAGTGTGAATCACCACATTTATCCATCTAAGCCATCTCATGATCCGTGCTATTCGTAGGAACTGATTTCTTAACAGTTCCAAAGTAGACAA